TATATCTATTGGACTCACAAATGTGCTCAGTATGAGAAGCACAAATGTATAATTTGGATCCCAAATGTATACAGTAATTCCCATGGGCATATTTGTTAGTTGGCAGAACATATTGGTGCTTTGGCTTTTAGGGTAAGAATTATAATGGGAACATCCAAGAGTAATGGACAAGTGCAGCAACCATGGCCTAAGGTCATGTTGACCTTGAGCTCAGACCTCTCAGTAATGAAGGTCTGAGTCACCCAATTAGGAAGTCAGCCGACTAAGAAAGGGGATAACAGAAGAGTGGGGAATCTGGAACGGTTCTAGAGAAGGAACTGATGCTCAGCTGTGGCACTGAGACCACCTGCAGTGGCAGGGCTTCAGTTTGTCCTATTAACCTTCCTCTATTAGTTTCTCTAGGAAAAGAGACCAGACAAAATCCTGCAAGTGTTGGGCCCAGAATTTATTATATGACAAATGGATCTGAATGTCACAAGTGATGGACTGGGGTGGATGCTGCAATGTGTCGCTCAAATCCCTTCTTCATGTCTGAGGCTGGCACCACCCAAGCTGTTGGAAATGTTGGTGGCTGACTGCTCAAAGCTGAGTAAACACCTCAGGATTTGTGTTCAGCTAAAGAGGACCACCTTGTCCAAAGTCATGCATCCCTCTCTTAGGCAGCTAGTGTTCGAAGTCTGGTAAATGAAGGAAAGGATAAAAGTCAAAGCCTCTCATCTCAGGGGAAATAACTCTGAAGGGCAGTCTAACCCTAGAGCTTCCTGAGAGATCACGTGAAGGCCTCTCAAGGAGACTGTATCAACTGTTAACTGTTTCCTTTGTTTAGTCAGTTCTATTTCCTTCTCTTGTCTAGAGGTGTTGATCAAAGAGCATTAACCTTCTGCTTACAAATCTCCATCCCGGACTCTTTCCAGGGAACTCCAGCTAAAGCAGTTATTAAAAGAGAAATGATGCCGGATATAAGACCTGCAGCTATTAGTCTTCTGGTAGCTCCTATAGGTACTCATTACCTAATCTGGGTGATGATTTTACTGTCTACATTAAAAAGCAGCAGGAAAACCTAAATACCAGAAGTTTACCAGTAACTTCTTTTTTCTCTTCTTTATATCCAGCCACCAAAGAGAGTTCATTTTTTCTTGTAATGACTCTTGAACAAATTATTGTCATCATATTATATTTAATATAGATGGTCTTTTCTCTAGTTTAGACTCTTCTCCTTTCCTACCTAGGCTATTTCAACTGGTTCGTGTTCCCTCCCCCCCCCCACCCCCCGCCCCAAATTTCATACGTTTAAATCCTTAACTTCAATATGATATGGTCTTGAAAGAGGTAATGAAGTTAAAATGAGGTCATTAGGATGGGCCCTAATCCAATATGACTGGTGTCTTTATAAGAAGAGGAGATTTGGACACAAGCAGTACAGAGGGAAGACAATGTGAAGACCGAGGGAGAGGACAGCTATCAACAAGATAAGAGTCTGGAGTTTTGAACAGTTGCATGATGCTCATGACCATGTACCCGTCCTTCCCTCATGTGCCAACAACATGCCTTGGAATTTTGTTATTGTCATTTGTTTAAACCAATCTAGATCACTGAGAACTGAATGTAGTAGACCTAAGACTTTTATACTTGTACATCCGTCTATTATGCAAATGGGAAATTGTCCATAGTGCAATATGAAGCTGACTCCATGAGGATATAGAACGTTGGAGAAATAGATTCAGGATATTGAATCAATTTCTGTTATTTGTGGAAGTGGGGTGTCCACCAGTAGAAGTGGGGAATCCCTTTCTCCACTGGGTGCTGGGGGTCAGGTTCTTATGACATTTTGAGAAAAAGAATTTTATAAGACTCCCATGGGAGAATCAGTGGTTTTTATTTGTGCGAAGTTATAACCTGCGATTTCTAAAGTCCTATTTCCCTTAAACCAGTCCTGGAGAAGGTGCAGCTAGGGCTTTAGCAGAGCTAGAAGCAAAGCCAGTGTCCAAAGTTTCCTTTCCATGGTGGAGCTGAGTCTGGCGGAGCATCAGGCTAGTTGCAGTCCATCAGTCTATTGTGTGGGTTCCATGTGGCCGTTGGCCATGTGGACCGGTGCAGGGCGTGAGGGCCCTGCAAACCAGGAGCCAGCAGTGAGCAGCAAGAGAGAAGGGCAAGAGAAACTTACTTTGTTCAGGAGCTTATGTATCCCAGATTGGGTCTCTGGCAGTGGCCATGCCTATTTTGGCCAATAACCTGCTCCCAGGTGTGATGGACAGATAACCTCCTTTCCTATGTTATTCAGACCTTACTGGGCATGTATCTATTCTTTCTCTCTTCAGTCCCTTTTCCCAGGATCCCCAGGATCTGCAGGGCACAGACCTGGAGAGCGCTAAGTTGCAGCTTCCTGGCACAAACTGTATGTCTATATTATCCAGCCTCCCCCTTGCTCCTTTCCTATTATTTAATTAATAACTGGGTTAATTCCAATGGTATCATTACTATAAAATGGTATCTTTCTACTAATAAGAGGAAAATAAGGCATTTCATTATTTTAGGAGGCCATCACGCACTGTAGCTAACATTTATTTCTCAATAAAGATAGTTAGGGCACAGGTCACACTTTTTTTTTATGCTACTTGTATAGGATAGGCATGAAGGTGGAAGGGATGGAATGCATCTTTTAAACATTTGGACTTCTTATTCTAAGCACAGCTCTGCTCCAGTGAATGGGGAATATTGTCAGTACTGTAGTTTCTTCCATTTTCCTACCTGACAAGAAACCACCATAAGAATTGTACTTTGAATTTAGGGGCAAATGTTTCTGACATGGCTTTTGTAGACTCTTGGTTCTGTGGATATGGTCTCTGCGCTGGTTTGGACTTTGGGAGGCAGCAGTCTTGGTTTATTCTCTGGCTCTGTTGCTTAACTTGGTGGCATTGGCCAGGTTACTTAACCTCTCTGTGTCTGGTCCTTTATCTACAACATGGAGATGACAGTAGTTTCATTTCATAGGACTCTTGTGAGGAATGAAAGAATTTATATAAAGCACCCAGTACAGTGCCCACCAGTTAGCAAGTCTTATTAAATGTGTTATGTGGTGAGAGAAATATGAGCTAATGACCAAAAATTTGAAACAGAAAGGATAGGTAAGATGAATAACAGTGATACTAGAAAGACATGATTCAAATGGAATATTCTGATAAAAATAAAAATGTACACGGATCTCACAATTTGATATACTTGCATTTGGTCATTAGGAAAACTGTAGGAAAAGCCTTTACACCATGAGTTGTTGTTTTTAAAGGTGGTTGCCAAAGGAGCTCAAATTATTGTCTCCCTATAAAATGTACTTTTGTATTTGAAAAATTATGAAGCAAAACACTTAAGTGATAGATAAATGTTTTGTCATTTTCCTTCAAATATTGTCAAGTATATTTTAGGGTGATCATTGAATAAAACTCAGAAAAGACAAAGAGGACAAAAAAAATAAAAATATATGATGCTTTATTGTCAAAAATAGACAAACTTTAATTTCCTTTAACAGAAATATTAATTAAAGGTCTCCATAAGCCATTATCACCTCTTCGTGAGCATAAAAGACAGCTGTTTAGAGGAAAAGAGACAGCAGCTCTACATCCTGCTAGAGAAGCCTCGCCCACAGAGTCACAGTGACCCTCAGAACCCTAACTAATAATAGACATGCCAGACAAGGTTAACTTATGCTGGCCCAGCCCTAGAGAGGGCTTTAAGGTTTGAATAGTGAAGTTTTAGGTCACCTATAGGAAGAATAACAGGATCTACCTGCTTTTGAGTTACACCAGGATGAAGCCATCGGTCCCTACCACCCTCCCTCAGGTATGTAAAGTGATGCTAATAGCTTGGACAGAAGATGTGAATAAATTCCTTATTCATGACCTATAGTAAGGATGTGAAGGACTTGCAGAAATGAACGCTGTAGTGTGGAGGTTACATTCTCTCATTAGCATAAAAAAGACTAATGATCTAGGCAGTAAGAACAAGGAAAACATAAGGCCTTTATTGTTCCCTAGGGACAGGTATCCTAGGTTGAAGAAAGCTGGGTTCCATCCTGGCTTTCATTCTCTGGTCTGTTGTAATAGACCCATCTTAATAATGAAAAGTGGTAGAATACAGCTATCTCCTTTGAAGAATGGGTAAAGAGCTGAGTTCCTAGGAGAGGCCAGGGATGAGATAACACTGACTGGTGGGAGAGTTCATCTGAGATTAAGCATATGTAATAGTGAAAAGAAGCTAGGTTATCAAATAAATGAGAAAGGGATGAAAACTGAGAACTCATGTCCAATCTCCATATGCATTCACATAAAAAAGAAATTATATGCAAAATAACAGCTTAACATTTTCCATTTTTTCTAGTTTAAAGATATCACTCAATACTTGAGAACTAGAAAAACTGAGTTTATATTGTCCAATAAGTTATGTAAAACAATACTGTAGTTATTAAATGGTAGCTTCAAGTTTATGCCACCTCTTTTAGAACAGAAGAGTAAAACCCTGGCCGGTGTGTCTCAGTTGGTTGGTCATCTTCCTGTGCACTGGAAGGTTGCTGATTCCATTCCCAGTCAAGGCACATGCCCAAGTTACGGCTTGATCCCTGGTAGGGGACAGGCAGGAGGCAGCCAATCAATGTTTCACTCTCACATGGATGTTTCTTTCTCTCCCTTCCTCTAAAAATCAATAAAACATATCTAAAAACACACACTAAAGCAAACAAACAAAAATACCAGAAGAGTATGCAAAAAAACAGTGAAGTAGCTTTGTTCTCCTGATGGTTTCTTATTCACTCTTGCATGGGTTTAAGTGTGAATTATGCTCACCCACTTGATTCTATTCTCCTGTATAAGGACCCTTCCAATGAGGGTAGGGGCAGGAAATTGGTGGTGTGGGCTTCTGGATGTTTTGATGGACTAAGCATCACTCAGTAAGATTCTGTGATTGATAGGATCACTCTGAAAACTTACAGAAGAAAAAAAGCAATATGAAAATCAAACTAAACAAAGTTGGTTTAATAGTCTATCAGCAAGACTACATGGAACACTTTGTGTAGTCAAATACAAAGCTGAAGTGGATTGCTCCTTTTCCTTCCTTATTCCATGCCATTCCATTTTGTTAAAAAAAAAAAAAGTGATATAATGCAGACATGGGGGTCATTTCTCAAGAGCCACAGAAGGATCCCTTTAGTTGGGCTTGCTGTGACTATGAAATGCAGAAGAACTCGACTGGGGGTTTTTCGTTGAAAGCAGGCAGGGCAAACTACAATGACTGTAACTGAGCAGCTGCAGAGTTTTATTACCCAATCATAAAAAGGACCTTTTACTAGTAAAATGTTTCCCTCTTAGCACTCTTCAATGACTGTCGTTCCAATCAAGGAGTAAAGCTTTTTCTTAACAAGCCGAAATCCTGAGCTCAGGATCAGAGTTCGTCTGAGGCTGGATGAGAAGCGACCGCGACTAAAGAAAAAGTCCCTGAAGCTGGTCCATGAGCAGTTCTCCTGCTTAAACACGAGTGTAAGCTCAAACGTGGGCACCACAGTGGAGTCACACACAATCCGATCCAGCTTTGTACATACATTGCCCACCTCCATGTTCACGTGCAGGACACACCCTCGCAGGCCGCAGGGCTCCGTGGAGGCAAGGCGCAGGACGTCCTGAGCGATTCTCTGCGTCAGTTTCTCAGGGACAAGGACTTTGGAGCAACCCAGTTTGGTTTGCTTGGATTTGGACAGACAGTTCTCCAGCATTTTGACCAAACTCTGGCAAGTCGTCTCCTCAAATATTACCTCATTGAGGTTAGGTTCAGGAACAACATAATCCCAGTAGTCAAAATCTGTAGAAAATAGAAGTTTGAAGTAAAAAAAAAAAAAAAAAAAAAAGGAAAGAAATCCAGGAGCAGGAAAAACATACCAAGATAGCAACATTGGTCTCTACCACATCTACCTGCTTCCAATATTTATCCAATATCAGATCAGCTGATCTCCCCTTGCTGCTAACTAGTGGAAATAAAGGTTTTGATAAATGAAGTGGATAGGATACAACCATTTTTTTTTTAAATTTATGTGTACACACACACAATCTTAAAGACTATGGATCAAAAATCTATGGGTATCCTAGATTATTAGTAATTTTTTTTCACTTCTTGCTCTCTTACTTGCTTAGGAAACTTTTCAACTTATTTTACAGGGAACATGCATTACTTCTAGAGTAAAAACGGTTATATACATTTTTTTTTTTTTTACTAAGGAACTATTACCTTCTGACTCTGAGAATATATGAGTTTATTTCTTTAAAATACCAAATTTTTGCTATTGTTAAGTGATGAATTTTAGGATGAATCTGAGGAGCTATATTACATATTTGTTAAATCTGTTTCTTTCTTTAAAAGTCTTTACTGGAATGACCTGTAAATTCCAATTTTAGCTTCAACCTCTTTGATTAAAAATTGCTCAAAGAAGACCTTTGAGGTCCACCGGGATATTTATAACTAGCTGGGTAGTTTTCCATGGCCAACCAAAACAAAATAGTCCTAGGAAAACAAAATTAGATTTGCGCAAGGAAAAGAGATAGGTCTGCCTTTGGTCACCTTCCTTCCAAATTAATCCTACCACTTGGCAAGATGCCATACACACAGTCAATTGGATGCAGGCAGAGGTCGTGCGGGCTCCGTTCCCTAAGCCTACTTCACCCTCATTGGCTGTTGTGGTTTCCCCACATTGCGTATTCTCTTAGATCATTGTTTTTTTTTATAACTAAATAAAACAAATGCAATCCAAATTATAAGGCTTCATATGCTGAAGACAGAGAATTTAGAGAGTTGGCCTATAAAATTAGATCAGCCACTTTGCCTTCTAAATGAGGAGGGCCCAAAGGTCTTCAGCGATTGGCCTGTGCCCACACAGCTCCTCACCGCAGAGCAATGTGTGCACTTAGAAACTGCTGCTTAAAACTGCAAATGACAGCATGACCAGCATCAGGGCAGTTTTAAAATTTTCTTCTGGTATTAAAAACAGAATAATGGATATAGCCACAAATAGAATACTAGACGGCAATAAAAAGGAACACATGCTGATAGAAGCAGCAACCACGGAAGGATCTCAAAATAACTGAACTGCAGGAAAGAAACCAGTTACAAAAGACTACATATTATGTGATTCCATTTACACAAAACTCTAGAGGCAAAAGTAAACGGGGGAAAGGGAGAGGGAGAGGGGAGAATTGATGGCAAATAGGTACATGGAAATTTGGGGAGAGAGGGTCATGGTAGTGACTACCATGATTACACTTGTTAAAACATACATAACTGAACACTTAAAATTCACCAAAACTTTACAACCAACTAGGGTAAGGAACCTACATAACTTTTCATCCCAAAGAGCCTCTTAGCAACATAGACCTATACAGCCCTAAGTATTAATTAATTAATTATTTAATTAATTTTGTTTCTCACTACCATGGTCAGAAGTTGCTAGAAAGTTTGGAAAGAAGTTTTCTCAGATGGATTGTGTGGCACCTCCACTGAGGAGAGGGGCGACACCGCCGACCTGCCAATCCGATCCCATCTATAGAGGGGCTGCAACCTTTGGAGCAGAGAGAGGAGGGCACTGGGAAACTCACCATTTATCAGGCTCCCCGGGTAGAAGCCATGGTCCAGCAACTCTGAAATGCTGCCCGGGTTCTTACTGCTCAAACTGCCAGTTGCAACCATGGTCAACGGCTCCGTTTCCCTCGCGGGGCAGAACGGCCTGGGGCGCTGGAAAAAGCAGGCAACCAGGACAGATTGGCAAGAGCCGGAAAGACGTGCCGAGGCTCCTAAAACGCCCCGCGCCCCCAGAACGAACTAGCCCCGCACTCCTTTTCCAAAGGGAAGGAACCGGTCCCTGCAACTCAAGTTTGCAGTCTCGCGAGCGGAGACGCCAGCTACTGCCACCATCTGAAACCCATTCAAAGTTAGCCGACTTGTCCCGCGGAGCTCAGCCCCCTCCACGGCCCGGCCCTGGCACCACGGGCCCCCGCCTCTGCGCACCCCACATCCGGGCCGCCGCCTGCCTCGCTCACCTGCTGGGAGTTGGCTGAGGCCGATGCGCTCGCAGGTCACGCTGCGGGGTAAAATGAATCAGGGGGTAAACCGAGGCAGGGGGTAAACCGAGGCAGACACTCTCCGCTGGAGCCTGCTCCCTCGGGGGCTCTGGGACCTGCAGACCCCCGCAGCGATCCGCACCCCGCTAGGTCCCAACCCACCTAGCACCCGCCCCACTGAACTGCGCCGCCTCGGGGG